TGATGCTGACAATGGAGCTTTACCATCAAAGGAACACATTAAATTTTAAACTAGATTAAAATAGATTATTATTTTGAATTTTAATACTTTACAGTATTTTTTTTTTTACCTTATTTGTGGTCAAATAAATGCAGCCTTGTTTAGCATAAGAGATTTCTTTCTCATAAGAGAAAGAAATCTTACTAACCCAAGTTGTTAAGGGTATATATATTTGATAAATCTGTGCAAGTTTGGGATTTTTGTGTCTGTGTGAGTGTAAATTCAGTGTATTTGTGTTATTATTGTATTTTGACATTGATGGTTGCGTGTGTGCACTCCCATACCTCATGTTTTGCTCTCTCCAGCTCCGGCATGTTGAGTAGTTGTGATGAATTTGTAGTCGGCTTCTGTCAGGTGGAGACCGCTATAGACTGATCTCTGATCAGGAGAGGCACACAGGGCATCAATCTCCCCCTATGCTGATGGGTCCCACTCAAGTCCTACCCATAATTACCGAAATGTTAACAGTGACGCCCTGCTCATTAGGGAACAACTTCCTCTAACATTAATTCCTTAAAGGAGCTAAACGCAAGTCTCTGAGTTTTTGCAGAACTACGCCCCCTCTGGCGACAAGCGAAACTGCAACCAGAGCTGTGCGCGTTCATGGAGGAACACACACACACATACGCACGTTTGCACGAGCTGTTCATAACTAAGGAGCATCAGCCGCACACTGTGCGGCACACATCTTTTGTTACAGTCATAATGAGGTAATACAGTAATAAATCTGCAAGTCATTTAAAATATATGAAAGGAAAGGCATTCGAGTAAATTACACACTTGTGTGAGAGGGGGAAACGGGGGTAGTAGAAAACTTCGGTTTTTGTTTCCATCTATCTCCCTGTGCTTACTGTATCCACTTATGATTGAATTATTATGGAAACACGTTCAGTTATCACTTTGTATAGGCTATGACTCGTTTGAGCCCTAGAGACGACCGGAGATCTCTCCGTTTGTTGAAAGCTTCCCGGTGTTGACTCTCGTCTTATTCCGACGCATGGCACTGGACAGACAGAAGTTTTATTTTCTGTCTCACGTGGAGTTTGCGTTGGGGTTTGTAATGAGCTACAAGCCGGTCTCTTTCCGCGCCATATACAGATTTAATAAAGTGCACGTCACCGAAAGCAACAGATATGAGCTGGATTTTATTAATCATCGGCTAATTTCAAAATCAGCAAAGACAGCAATAAGAGAGATCGGCAACAGAAATGGTAAGATCATTTAATTTCTTTACTTTTAATGAAGATGGTAGTGTTAAGCGTCTGCGACTTACTTTCACTAATTCACTTTGATTTGCGATAGATTGCGGCGCTTGATGAAGGGGCTCAGCTCAGCTGCTCAGGTGATGCGCGTCGTCATATATGACTAATATCATGACATATAGCTTGGTTTCAACAACCAGATGCATTTACACTTGTCCAGTTTCGTCTGGAATACGGCACAGACCACGTCCTCAAGTGGTTTGAGCGATCGAATTCAAATCCGTCTCGAATGCGTTTCGGAGGGCATTTACACCCTGGTCTTTTCACGATCGAATAGCTATCCGATCACAGAAGACACATGAAGTGACCAGGTGTAAACAGCCCCTTTGAATCCATCGTCTACTTTTGTGGAAAGCTGACTAGAGTTGTGTCGCTCGAGTTGTCTTCTCTGATACGGAGAACGGCGGCGAATAGCTACACGAACCTGCCAGACATAGCCAGGCGAGCGTGAACGCGCATGACGTCACGCCCAGTCTCAGATTCGAGCCCGAATCCCTCTTATATATTTCACTGTACAGGGTTATAGAGGCGATCGCAGTGATCAAAGAAGGGCTCATTCAGCCCATCAGGCGATTGTTTAAGCATGTATGGGTTAGAAAACGGCTATTTTTAACATGAAAAGTTGCGCAATGCACCTTTAATAAGAAGATGCAGAGTGGAACATCATTTATATAAAATTAGAGTATCAGGGAAAGTACAGCCTGCGTCAGAGCGGGGAGGCGTTAACCACCCATTAATATTACTGATTTTTGCACCTGAGAAAGACAAAGACCCTCCCCTAATGGCCCTATTAAGTGCTATGGGGCCCTACATTGTAAGGACCCTTGCACAAAGAATGAGATTTAAAGGGTAAATCCTGAAGAGGGGAGAACGTTTTTACTCCATACATAAACAATAAGTTGTTTAAGAGTTTATTACCCTTTAAGTTTAGGATTATGTATTTTGTGACTGTTCCCCCAAATGAACCAAAATGTTAAAGGTACATTGTGTGATTTTTAGTGACATCTAGCAGTTCGGTTGTGAGTTTGCACTAAAGGCTCAGCCCACTGCTCACCCCTCCCTTTCGAAGAAGCTATGGTTGCTAAAACGGGACAAACATATTGTCGTCTGAGACAGCAGAGAATAGCCAGAGTAAGCCAAGAGTGTGTAACATTGTCACCGTTTCTTTACCACAGTCCATTATAAACCACATCATTGATACAGTTTACAAAGCTATAGTCAGGTGAGGATCAAGGGTCTTAATATATAATATAATAACATCAATCAGCTGATTGTCTCACAAACATAGCCAGCACATTTCTCCCCATAGCAAACTCATAATAGCCTACAGCGAGGGAAAAGAACCACGTGAAACTATGAAACTATTTATGTATTTTTTCTAACAAGGTAGTAAAACTTTAGCTGGCTAATATGAACCGTTACTATGGCTGAGCTGGTTAAAGCGTATCGTTGTTCATGAGCGAAAAGGTGCGGGCGGCAAAAATGACATGATTGTAACAGTACGCACACCTCCTCATCCCCTAGACACCATTTACTACCATAGGCTTTTTTTTCCATGATTTTGAAAATTCTTCGTGATCCTTACGCTATCGACGGGTTGGTGACTCCTGTAACATACTGTTTTACGGTCAATGACAAGAGTACTAATCAGCTGTCTCACGAATGTAACCAGAACATTTATCCCCACATAGCAAAGCCATAACACAGCGAGGGAGAAGAACTAAATTACATGAAACAACTACATATTTTACACCACTCACAATGGAAGTTTATGGCTAGCTTCTAGGTTTTTGCGGCTTCTCTTTCAAGGTATGAATGAAACAAGCTCTGTAGCGATGTTTGTTCACGTTCGGCTACGGTAGAAACATGACGTCACAATATGTCGACCTTATAGAAGGGGGTGGCCGCGGTTATGTAGATATAAATGTCTCATTCTAAGGTAATAAAAACATTGCAGTTTATTAAGTACGTTCTTTATACACCATTGAAAACATAGTTATGGATGGCATATTGCATTTCTGTTAATAGATACTCAATTTTTTACTCATTGCACCTTTAATCTTTGCATTCATTCTATTTCCAATTGCTTATTTCAGCTGAAAAATCAACCACATCCTGACTGCATTGTCCCATATGTCCCACCACCCCATGAGCGATGGTGGCGGAACGCTTTTAGGGACAGACGAGTGTGTGCGTCTGTGGACTCGTGATGGTGTGTGTCACCGGGTGATGGATGCCACCCCAGTTCTGTCAGCCTTCCACTAGGCTGACAGCAGCAGACTGCAGCTGCCCTCCCAGGATGCAGTTCTGCAGTAGGGGGTCGGATGGAGTGTGTGTGCTGGTTTGTGGTGTCATAAGGAGCCAACGCCTGATCCTCTGAGCCTAAAACTCTCTGTGCAAACTCACTACCCACAGTCAGCTTTCTCTGCTTTTTGCTGCCAACTTGCACTTTAGGGAAATCTAAACTTTGAGTCAGAGTCCCAAAAACTCTTATTGAAACAGCGTGGCCTCTCCAGTGGATGCCACTTCGAGTGCCATAGGGCCTTGTTTTCAATTTCATATAATTGTCTGAACTGCAGTGTCAACACTGGCCCAGAGTAAAGTTTGTATGGGTTTCACGGTTTTGTTTAGCTGCTGGTTAGCTTGTCTGTACTGTTGCAGCTTTAAGCAATAGCTGTATTTTCAATGTTGCCAGGCAATGATTTAGAGAATCTACTGCAATCTCTGCCCTTGCAAAATTTTCAGTTCTGACAGAAGGACTCGGGAGATAAAATTATGTAACAAAGCATCCATTCATTGGCTGGCCAGCAAGCAATTATTCATAAAGTTCTTTGGCGTAGGCCCCGTCCATAGTTCATAATCTGAGGGTAGCGGATCAGCATCTCCTGCCTAAAGACGAAAGCAGGGGCACAGCCGACCCCCTGGGAAGTATAGACAGGACCGTCCTGGTGGAAATGGGGAGGATGGAGGTGGTTGTCGCGTTGACATCTGCGAACTCAAACATGTGTAAGTACCACTCTTATACAGCAAGAATAAGGACGTGATTGGATAGATTGGATAATTTGTGCAAAATATGGTCATACGATATTCATCCATATTTGTGAAGAATTACAGAAACATACAATGATAAGCATAGTTTTATGAAATAGTTAGAGTTGAGATTGTGACGGCATTAGATAGACCCCATATTAACGTATTATGGTTTTAACGTAGTAACAATAATTGTAATTAGGTCATGACAACTCTCTGAGGGTTTGGCAACGTTATGACAACATTAATTTGTTTGGTCTTGGTGGAATAGATCTGCTATACTACAAGTATGGGACTTGCTACTGCCAGTACGCACACAACACGCTGCTGTGAGCAAGTAAGACATGCTGCTGCTGTATAATAGCATACACAAATTATCCATAGCAGATCTATACAGGTGGAGCTGGGGAAGGTGGGGGGTTTCTAAACTTCTTCAACTCAACTTTAGCTGTCACGTCATTCTCTATGGCACAGCAGATCTATTCCACCAAGACCAAGTAGTCCACCAGAGCTACAATTACAACCTTAAAATCATAATAATGTAGACAAGTGGGATGAGTATCAGAAAATATGACACTAGACATAAATTGGTCGTGGTCCCTTTAAGAGATTGTGTTGCAACGCTCACTTTACGGCATTGCCACGTGTCGTGTGCATGAGCCAGTTTTCAGTGAAGAGAGAGCAGTGAGAGCTGCTGGTTTTGTTCATATACAGCTAGTAAGGCTTTTTGAGGTAAATAATATACAGTTTAATTCCTTGAACAAAGTGTTTAAATGTTATATTTATGTATTACATAAATGTGTGTTCATTGCGGAATTTTTATAGATTGACTTTTAAGGACACCTGTGTGTGCGTGTGCGCGAACTGGATCGGGTTTGATCAAGCGTGGTGCAAAGACTGGGTATGTGTTGTAATAAATGTTAATTAAATTATGTTCCCCTTTTCGAAGCCCAGTGTTTGTGAACGTTTAAATTGAATGTGCATGTTAGAAACCAGTGGGTTCTTTTATTATTAAATATCTGGATAAGAGCTATGGAAACGGATTGAATGGTGTTTAAACAGTGTACTAATTTTCCTTTCTTTGAAACTGTATGCATACTGGGAAGTTTGATGGTAGACTTTATGAACTGTTTTTCATTTGACTATTAGCCTCTACTGTATTTCATTACTGTTTCATTTTTTTCCAATGACTTTCATTTAATTTGATTTCATTCAGTTGGTTTCATAATCATCTTTTATTCCAAACAAGTGCCACAAAGAAATGTGAAAGACTTTGTCTTTTCATGTTATTATTTTTGTTTCTAAATATTTGCTCCTTTCGACCGCTGTCCAGAGACAGCAGCAAGTAAAAAGCCCAAAAAGTAATTTTTGTATCCTGTGCAGTTTTATTCAACCACGGGTTACAATATGGGGTCTCTATCTAATGCTGCCACAATGTTAACTCTAACTAGTATTTCATAAAACTATGCTTAACATGGTATGTTTCTGTAATTCTTCACAAATATGAATGAATATCGTATGACCATATTTATGAAATTATATCAAAATTGTGGCTGATAACAGTTTCTTGTTAAAGCTGATAACTGATAATAGTCAATATTAAAACAATGCAAATTTAGGTAACACTTCACAATATGGTATCATTTGTTAATATTAGTTAATGCATTAACTGACATGAACTAACAATGAGAAATATATTCTCACAGAATTGAATTATCTTTGTTAATGTTTGTTAATAAAATGTTCATGTTCGCATTCACAGTGCATTTTCCAATATTATTACAAGGCTCTGTGGAATATTTGATTCTGATCAGTCAATCGTGCCATCCAGCGGAGTGTGATTCCTTGATAACAACCAATAAAAACAGATTGCATGCTTTGCGTCAGGGCCCTGATTCCCCTGTTGGGGTTTATTCTGAGATAACAACTGGATGTACATTATCCCTTACTTAACTGAAAACTTAACATTTTAAGTAATTTTAAGTCTTAAAAGAGTATACATGTTGATGCTAACAGTAACTATGATTAATAAATGCAGTGTTGTTCATAATTATTTCATGTTAACTAATATAATTCACTAATGTAAACAAATGAACCCTTATTGTAAAGTGTTTTTCACAAATTTGTGAATATAGAAATTAAGAATAAAGCAATTAAAACTAAATACCAAGTGAATGTATATTAATTTTGAGATTTGTTAAATATTTGTGTTATTAATTATTAGTGTTTTAGGAGATGCTAAATTACACATGCTAAAGTAAATATCAAGACACCATTAAAATAAAAAATGTCAAACATTGTTTGATAACAAAAATGCTGCAAGATATATTATATTTTGGCCTTTTTACTACATATTTTAAAAGGTTCTGTAGAGAGAAATGGAAGTAAAAAATATTTCAGAGCACATATGACCTAACCGTAAACCACAGCTACTAATAGACTTACTAACTAAAATAATTAATTATGGCTATACATCCTCTTGCATTTCTTCACATTTGTAGAAAACATGTTAGAATTGGTCTGCAACACTGCTCAGTCCACCTCCAGTTGATTGAAACAACTGCTATGTCAGAACCTCGTGCATGTTGTTCATGCTACTGCATTCCAGTAGAGAAGATGCAGCAGCCGTGTGCTATTGTTTTAGCAGAGGGTTTCATAGCATAACATTAGGCAGGCTCGGAGAGGCCTGACATTTAGCAATGACTGTGACTAATGAGATAAATTGTTCCAGCGGCAGAAAGGTTGTAAATCAACCTGTCACCAGCATTAAAGGGATTTGTGTTTGCCCCAACCTAGATCCTCAACATTATTAGAAAATATTCACTTTCATTTCATCGCAATTCACATGGTTTATGTTCTACAAAAAAAAGTTTAGTTCTGGTTCGGATCCTTCACGTATGACATACAAAATTGAACAGCATGCTAAATTAGCTCTAGTACCTTGAGTTTATGCTTTAATATATACCAAGGTACTGAATGACCATATTTATGTACCATGATGACATTTACATAGTATTCTAATACTGGTACTTCAATTTTTTTATTTATTTTTTTGTTATAGTCTTAAGCACATAAAGTTAACACATTCAATTAAACTAATTTTCAAAACAGAGTTCTCTATGCTAAAATAAAATAATTCATATTTTTTAATCATACATTTTAGTCTGTGTTATTGTGCGTGTTGTTTTTAGTCTGAGCAGCATTTAGGCCATCTGTGTGCTATGTGCGGTAAATGATCAGTACACTGTAAAAATTTCAAACCTCCCAACTCAAATATTTCTAGTGAATAGTCACATCAAAATTTTTCAATTGGCCCAAGTGAAATTCTGCAAAGTGATGCATTTAAATTAGCAGAATTTCACTTTTTAAATGTGACCAGTCGCTAGAAAACTTTGAGTTGGGGAGGTTAGACATTTTTTACAGTGTAAGATTTTAATATTTTTGAAAGAAGCCTCTTATGCTCAAGGCTGCATTATTTTGATTAAACATACTTAAAACAGCAATATTTTGAAGTATTTTTTTTTAAGCTAAAATAATAACATTACTGTTCACTTTTGAGGAAACTCGCAATGCTTCGATGACATTTTGGGAACGCCTCCAGCGTGAATTTGTCTGAAGCATCTATGTCCATTAGTCCAGTGGAAGAAATGAGCGTCACAGGCGGGTGATGTCAAGATAAAAGCAGCATTTGCTTGCATTGCCTCCGCAAGCGATCTGTGTCTTTTTGTCTGTTATATTTATTGTTTGTATATATATATGGCGAAACAAGTTTTCAAGCTCTGTGCTTCTCCTTGCCCGCGCAATTATGGGTGGGGATAAACACAAGCTTTTTGTACTTTGTTTAATAGAGAAGCATGTGGTTGCAGCCTTCGAGGGGGCTGAATGCCAGCATTGCGAGTTGCTTCTGCTTCACGCGCTCCGCTCCCGCCTGTCTCTTTTTCAGAAAAGTGCCCAGGCCTGTGATCCTCAGGGTGCAGGACCCGCTGTTGCCGAGGCAACATGGAGAATGCATTCCTGGGGATCGCAAAAGGATCTTTCAGAGGGGTTGGAGACGGGTCCGAGGACCTTTTCTTCTTCCTTACCTGCAAGATCCAGTGCTCTCCCTCCGGTGTTGGAAGCCTGCTCTGCGGCTTCTTCCGCCCAGGGAGAGAGAGCCCACTAATGCACGTTCCATCTTGATGTCCTCACAGGACCGTTTTGCCAACCCCGCCACTCTTGCTAACACTCAAAAAGATCTTGACTCAGACCAGATCTGAGGACTGATTTGTCACGATAGATCTGAAAGACGCTTACTTCCATGTCTCCATCCTTCCCCTGCATAGGAAGTTCCTGAGGTTTTCTTTGGGTGCAAAGAATACTAGTATTGGGTACTTCTTTTCTGTCTAGCTTTATCACCCCGTACATTCACGAAGTGCATAGATTCAGCTCTGGCCCCGCTCAGGTTGCAGGGCATACGCATTCTGAATTACATAGACAACTTGCTGATTCTAACGAAATCAGAGCAGTTAGCGATTCGGCATCGAGGTGTCGTCCCCACTCACGTCCTCACAAATGTTGGGGTTAAGGCTCAATGCCAAGAAGAGTGTGCTTTCTCTATTACAGAGGACCACTTTCCTTGGTGTGGTCTGGGATCCAGTCACGATGCAAGCTGTTCAATCGCCCGCTCGTGTAACTGCTATCCTCTTTGCCATCGAGTTGCTATCTCAACAGTGGTTCCCCCACCGGCTGAGGAGTGCTAATGGAAGGCAGTTCGGCTCAGGGTCTGTGAAGGAGTCATCATCTCTCTTGGCACATAAATTGCCTGGAGATGATGGCTGTGTTCAATGCGCTGAGACATTTCCTCCCAGACCTGAGGGGCCATCATGTGCTTGTCCAGACAGATAACACATCGGTGGTCTCTTATCTGAACCGTCGCGTCTGCTTTTGCAAACTGGCGCACCAGATCCTCCTGTGATCCCTAAGGAAAATACTCTCTTTGAGGGCAGTGTATATTCCAGGGGGGGAAGAATATAGGAGCTGACACCATGTAGAGGCAGGGGCTGAGGCCAGGGGAACGGAGACTCCACCCAGAGGTGGTAGAGCAAATATGGGAGTTTTACGGCCAGGCAGAAGTGGATCTGTTTGCGTCTCAGCACTGTCCACTCTAGTTGTCACTCAACCAGCCCCATTAGTCTGTATGGATTTCCCCCAGTTACTCTGCTCCCAGGAGTTCTGGAGAGAATTCAACAGGATGAAATAAGCCTACTGCTAGTAGCTCCATGCTGGTCAAGTCAAATTTGGTTTGCGAACCTCATTCATCTCCTCGACGGCCCTCCATTGATCCCGATCAGGAGAGACCTGTCTCATGCAGGGGGCACAATATTTCACCCCAGCCAGAGATTTAGAAACTGTGGGTTTGGCCTCTGAAGGAGCCCAACTCGTAGAGAGTGGTCTCTCAACCGAGGTTGTTGAGACCATTCTAAGCTTGAGAGCTGCCACTACAAGTAAACTTTATGCACTTAAATGGAGAGTTTTTTTCTTTGTGGTATCACCAGCATCAGTGGGATCCAGTTAACTGTTCAGTAAAGACAGTACTCGAGTTCCCCGTAACTCGCACTAGGGTGCCAGCTTGGGACCTTCCAATATTTTTACAAGGCCTGTCTAGGGCTCCATTCGAGCCCTTAGATTCGGTTTCAGAAAAATGTCTTACTCTGAAGACCATCTTTCTGCTAGCTATTTCGTCCCTCAAAAGAGTTGGAGACCTTCAGGCCCTTTCAGTTTCCCCCACTTGCCTTGAGTTTGCACCAGGGATGGTTAAGGCATTCTTAAATCCAAAACAGGGATACGTCCCTAAGGTACCGACCATGATTCCAGAGCCTATTGTGCTGCCGGCTTTCTGTACTGCTCCTTTTACCTCTTTGGACCAGGAAAGCCTAAACCTCTTATGTTCACTGGACACTTCCCGAAGAGAAGTTCCTTCCAGCAATTTTTTTTTTGTTTCGGATCACCCAAAAAAGGTTTTCCTGCTTCTAAATAGACGGTTGGCAAGTGGACAGTCGAGGCTATTTCACTTACTTACAAATCCTCTGACCAGGCATGCCCTTTGGCGGTCAGAGCTCACTCTACAAAGTGTATGGCAGCTTCTAAAACCTTATTATTTGAGGTTTCTCGCCAATACGTTTATGATGCGGAGGACTGGTCCTCACCACTCATATTCAAGTTTTATAGCTTGGACCTGGATGCTGCTCCAGGGTCCCAGGTGCTTAGTTGACAACAGTTGACTCTCAGGTAAGTTTGGCAGTTTGGTGAATTTTCTGCAGCTTTAGTTTCTTAATATTCTGGAAACTGTGGTATGAATTCAGGATGTTTGGGGCACTTTTTGCCATTGCGGTGACTTGGAAAATGTGCCTTATTCAACCTGAATTCACCCCTACATATTTTTGCAGGATTTATTGATGTATAGAAAGTTCAAAAGAACAGCATTTAGTAACATTTATTATTATGATCCACTTTAGACACTTTCTACTATACAACTTTACAACTACATGTCAACTAACTCAAATTCGAGTATTGTTAGTCTGTTGTAGACTGTTAGGTTAGGGTTTAGGTTAGTAAAATAAGTTGACATGTAGTTGCAAAGTTACTTATAGTCAGTAGGATCTCTGTTTCGGTGCCATCAAAATAAAGTGTTGGCAGATATTAATCAGACAGTCTACTAATACTCTAAAGAGAGTTAGTTGACATTGAGTTACTCATACTAACTATGAGTAACTCAATGTCAAATAACTCTCATTAGAGTATTAGTTTTTCTAAAGTGGACCATTGAAATAAAGTGTTCACAGTATATAAAACTGTCTCTGTCAAGCCATTTAATGGGGTCTTAAGGATGCAAAGGTCTAACAAGGCCCTTGCTTTCGATCTAAATGCCCAGAAAAGAGTGTTACAAGTGTACCTCAAACATTGGTTGAAAGAGGCTAGTTAACCTGGAAGTACACTGGCCGCCTCAAGAGCACAGCCTAGCCTTCACAGGGGAGTGAAGGCCAAATAGAGTGTGAAGGGAAGGAGGAATGAGGAGCAGAGGAAGAAAGCATGACTGTCAGACAGGACATGGTTAGTTAGACAACGTCTGTAGATACAGGAAGGGAAAACAAGCTCCAAGGCCAGTATGCAGTGGTGAGATGAGAGCCTCTCTTGGAGCTGAGCTGAGGACTTAAAGATAGATGGCCTGTTTTCACTGGAGGATTTGGACTGTGTGTTCTGGCCAGATTTCCTGCTGCTATGAGCCTGTTGGGAGGGAAAAAACACTTTTTTATAACCCACGTATATAGTTTACGCTTCAACATATACAATATGCAAGATGAAAAAAAGCAGAAATAGAAAAAGAGATGGGAGATTTGTGATCTCTAATGACGGGGGAAACAGTGAGTAGCCAAGAGCTCGTGACATGCTAATAGGGTGTCACTTATCGCTATATCGTACTTTCCCCAAATGAGTCCTTAAGGCAAGAAAAGTTGAGGTTTACCTGTTCGGTAATGACCTCAGTGAGCATAATACTGTAATACAAGCTGTGCTCTTTTAAATTGTCAATGGCAAGGAACAATGAACTTTCACACACACTCACATGCAGAGCTATTTTTCCTACGGCTTGACAGCTCACACTATAAACATTTCGCAAACAACCTGCCATCTACAAATCATTTAGCGGCCAACGGATAAAATCCACAGCTAAAGTTTGTGCATGTCATATTCTTCCAATCAAAGCCCACAGGTCAAAGAGAAAGGGGTGGTGGGGAGAACGCTTGTGCTGCTGTTTTCCACTAAACATCGATTTAAAAAGAGCTGGCACTTCTCCCAGCCTATCTCTCAAATGGCATTAATGGCCTATCTCTCTCTTTTATTGTTTTCCAGGAATCTCCTCAGGGTTGGTTTGCACCTTACATCAGCACACATTCCTCAGTCCCTGCATGCCACCCCGAAACAATAACTCAACCAAATTAGCATATCAAGAGAGCGGTGCAGAGCCAGGAAATTTGGGTCATGTTTCATGGGACCATGATTATTCTGTGTTTTTTGCAGTCCCACCTTTTGTATTCACATTTCTGGCTCTGGAAAAGTCCGATTAAATCGCAAGCGCTTTCATTACAATGTGAAACGCCTTGGCTCACGTTTCTATGCTGTAGTAATATGGGTTTGAGGAAATGTTCTCATGAACATAGTTCACAGGCTAGATTTCCTCTCATTAGCTCATTTCGACAGCTAATGTCCTATTTGCATTAGGCTTATTTTTCCTCATGCAGCTGATGCTCTCCTGGCAGGTGCCAGATGAGATACTGGCGTCTCTATCAGGCTCTGTTAAATAAACAATGCTTGATGTCATCTAAAACTCCTAAGAAGTCAGAACAGACAAAAGTCAATGTCTTCCTGTGGTAGATAGAAAGCCCAGCTGCCTTTTTACCTCATCGCAGCTAGCCCCTGTGTGACCCTGCTTGGAATTGTGGGTAGGAAAAGTCTCTTTAGGTAGAGTGGGGGCTTGAATCGTGCAGGTGCTTTGCTTTGATGCACAAACTTGGCAATGCATTTGAGAGAATACCACAGTGTAAACTTATTCCTGTTTGTTATTTTTTCTCCATCAAACTTTGTTGAAAGGTGCTCACCGGCTGTGCAATTATCCACTGACCAACTTAACACAATAAGCGACTGCGGTTCATTCAGACCTTCCTTTTGTCTTGAATCAGGCAGCTAATTATAAACCGAACAAGCGTATTAATTGATGCGGGTCACTAGAAAGGGCCAGTCCAAGTAATTACAAGAAGCAAAATGCACGCCAATGAAGAGAGCGTTCAGGAAGTAAAAAAAATACGCCAACTCACATTGGCTTTCAAGTAAAACATTTTATGTCTTTCAGTTTTGGGCAGAAATTCTGTTGCCTGTGAGAAACATATGTTGGTATGAGAGGAGCTTTAATTTTTCACATGTCCTAGTTTCTGCTGCTCTCTGGGGAGGACAGACCCACTGAACACAGACAGAACTGGGGATTGGTGTCTGTCCAAAAGTGCTTGCAGTGAAGAAACAACTATCTGACCGATGGGACAATCCTGAATCTTTCACAGACAATGTCACACAGATAAAGCTCAGTGAACAGTGTCTCAGTGGAACCACCGACATTCATGTTTAACAAATACATATATCTAACCATGCGAGTTCACACTGGTTTGTATTATATTGTACAGGAGTCCTCCAAGTTATTTTCTATTTTTCATTTACTTTATACCTTTATTATTAAGCCCAATTGTATATAAGAAATTCCTTATGAGAATGTTTCAGATAAAATATGCATTTTGTGATCACCAAATGCAGAACATGAAAGAAAAGTGGAACATAATTTGGTGTCCTCAGAGTGGGAAATAATCTTTTTTTGCCATCATATCTATCCATCTATCTTTCATCTATCTTATATCTTTCTTCTATGTTCTATCGTTCTTCTAACTTTTATCTTGATCCTCTATCTTCTGTCTGCCTAAACTACTTATTTTATACTAAAATATTTTACACAACACAAAAAATACTGTGTTTGTTAACACAGTCTCATCCCAAGAAGTCATATAACTGATATCTTGGGACGTCTTTTGACCATACGTCAACATCCACCTTTTTAGGGTACCCTTAAACGTCGGTTATGACGATCCCGGGCCGTCATACAACTGACGCTCTACCTTTAATGTCGGTTAGGTGAAGGGGTAGGTTTAGGTCTGGGGTAGGGTTAGGTATTCGATAACGTCATCTAACCGACATTTAAGGGTACCCTAAAAAGGCGGATGTTGACGTATGGTCACAAGACGTCCCAAGACGTCAGTTAAATGACGTCTTGGGATGAGACTGCGCTGTGTTTGTAGAGGAACTCATATGCATTCCCAATGCATTGAAATTATTTTTGTATTATTACAGTATTGATTGATTATTGACTGATAAGTGTCCAGTCATTTCTTACTTGCTTCTTTGCATTACACTGATTAATTATATTTAGCAAGCAAGCATGCACTATGTTAGCTGTTTTCTTTATAACTAATGGATTAGTGATTTCTTTTTTTTTTTTTATTCAAGTGAATTTTTATATTTTGATGAAAAATGTGTGGTGTAATTAAATAAGGTGGTGCTAGCACCAGCAAATAGAATTCATACTTTGCAGTCACATGACTACCATAGATACTTGGCGGGCAACAAACGCTGACAAAATGGCGACAAACAGTGGCCAGCCAGGGGAATTGCAGCCTTTCAAATTTCCAATACTACAATCAACTATTTAGACCATGAGCCCTATCTTGCACCTGGCGCAAATGACTTTGTACACTGACGCTTTTATCATTCCTATATTTTTCCTCGACAGATGCACGTCGGTAAACTTGGAAATGAACTTGCGCTCCCTGGGCTCGGCTGTGAACCGATTGTGAAGCGCAAAGTAACTAAGTAAGTAATAAGTAGACGCAGTACAATAGTAACGTGTCATTCATTCTCCATGCATTCATTTTCTCATTTCATATCAAATCAAACACGTTTATGTTAAGATTACACGATTGACATAGTGTATCCAATCGCACAACAACTATCTGCATGTTGTTTACACCTCAAAACACCAACTTTTGTATATTAAAACTGGCGTCGTCCTGGCAAGATCCTTGATTTGTTTACTGGGTTTCGCTGCTAGAGAATGACGTTCTTGCCTGCCAGCCAGTAATTGTGATGTCACGTGCAAAGTATGAACTGACTTTCAAATGGAAGTAATTACTTTTTTCAAACAAGTTTCCCAAACACTCCCCCATACAAATGACAATGAGTCTGTTGTTGTTGTTATTTATTTATTTATTTTAAAAATGTTGTTTTGAAAGCATTAGGGCCACTTATTTACACTTTTATTGGGTATCGACATACTTATTTTTTCTGCATATATATATTAAACTGGAACACGTTTTTAATATTGTAAAAAAATATTTAATTTTGATATCTAGGGTAAACACTCACATAAGTGTTTTAAAAATCATATGCTTGCACATTCTGTAAATTTGTTTGATAACTAAGTGGTTTTACTTCACTGGGCCCAGCCAGGAAGACTTTTGGATCTGAATTAATGAAAAGTACGGGCTCACTTTATGAGAATCCAGATTTCCAGGAACAAATTGCTCATAAAAGGGCTGGACAGCTGTATATCAGCGGCAGCCTTGAGTCTGGCCACAGTGATACTTTGATATACTCTATGCCAGTGGTTCTCAAAGTGGTCTGTGAAAGACAGGGGTCCGCAAAATAATTTATAACTGCCTACCGTTTTTTTCCGGACTACAAGTCGTGTTTTCTTTATCATCTGAAAACATGATATTTATTCCAAAGTGACTTATATAATGCATTTAACGTCAAATAATACAAAGTAGACACTTAAAGTTTTCTATAGATAGATCGTCTATCTGTATTTCTTGTCTGTGTGTCAAGTAGACTATTCACTGTGGTTGATTTTGCGTAACGTGCACCAGAAAGGAGACAGAGATGGCATGAACCCGCTTTGTTTTCTTTATTTTTAAAAGGCATGACTTTTTGTAGTCATTTATAATGTAGCCCATATACAAATAAAAAAAAAACAGACACTTTACCGTTTCGAATGATGCACTCTTGTCTTATCTGTATCACTATAAATTAGAGTAGTCCTTTGTTTCCATTGCTGAGGAAAAAATCCCATGTAATCGCGCCGGCGTCTCGCGTGCGCGCACAATATGTCAGTTCTAGCACTGCTAGATTTGACATTAGAAGTCTGATCATTATCAAAATAAAAGTGCATAGGGACAGGGCTGTACCCACAACTGAGGATGTACATCGCGATGATAACTGACCTTCTCGCTTCTGCTCTGCTCCAGCAGACTAACAACAACAGCTTGTCAATGTCAAAATGTTTGAGTCGGAGATGAATTTAAAATAGACGGCCTTATGTTCAAAAGCTGCAAGCCCGAACTACCCACACGATGCTTCAGTTAACGGCCATAAAGTGCGAGATGAGATGTAGGCCTAAATAGCTAAACTAAACAACTAAGAAATTTTAAACAAATGACTGAAACAATCAGTTTGCAAAGTATTAATCAAGCACAGCTTTGGGAAAGGAAATAGCTACAGATTAAGAGAAGTACTGTGCCCATAAGATTAACATTATGGATTCCTATTTAACAACTCTATTTTTTAGCTAATTACAGTGGATATAAGCTCAAATTAACAACACACGCACCTATTAAACATATTGCCATTATGATTGTATAAATAAAGGGCTTATTTGAGTGCAGAATAGGCCTAATCCTTTTCTCTTTTAAGGCCATTCCTGTTTGGAATATGTGATTGTGTTTTGATATAGCCTACATGCGAACAAAAATCACATACATTCTGCATTTCCATTTAGTATGTGGATCATTCATTGTAAAATTTAAACTGACATCTTGACAAAAAAATGTATGCCAATGCCCACTGACATGCTTATAAATCTATTGTTATCTAATTGTGGGGCCTTAAAACACCTTAAAATGCACATGTGTAGACCAAAAACATCAAAAATTAGAGTATCCATAGCGAGATCACTTTTGGGACCTCAGTATGGAGGCTATTTAGAAATTCCTGCATAGGACTCTGGGTGGAGACCATTTGTGCAAAAATATTTCATTAGCCGCGTACACATTAACTTTATGCTCAATCACTGTTATAAATATGAGGGGGGTCCTTGGAATTTTTTTCCCTCTGTAAGGGGTCACTGGCTCCAAAATGTTTGAGAATCCCTGCTCTAGGACAGCTGCTCTTTTTCTTGAACACCATCAGTAGGGTGTAAATGATTTGAAGTGCTGTTGCACTTGATTCCTGCTGATCTTGTTCTTCAGTCGTTATTAAACTCTATACCTCTCAGCCCATGTATAATAGCTTGTTCTCTCTCTTGTTGTCTCTCTCTCTCTCTCTCTCTCTCTCTCTCTCTCTCTCTCTCTCTCTCTCTCTCTCTCTCTCTCTCTCTCTCTCTCTCTCTCTCTCTCTCTCTCTCTCTCTGTTACCAGCTAGGTTAATTAAGTGAGTAATTCAGCTTGGAGTTCCTTTGGGCTTTCAGAGCAGGTAGAGAAAATTGACTTGAGCCTTTTATTTCAAGAAAACTGTCGAGAGCCGCGCGCATCAATAACAGCCTGAAGCCTCTTGGCGAGCAGCTTTTACATCCCACAAACAAGAGCAGCTTTGCAGCCCTTAATGACCCCAGAATGTCAGCAGTTTATGGTTTTCACGTGCTTACAAGCAACTTTTTTTTAAAAACTCATGTTGTCTCAGCATTATCATAAATGTTGATGAAAGCATTTGTAGGATAGATAGATCACGTCGGTTATAGATTGGAGTTTTTAAACTTTGAAACCCATTATAATTAATTGTAGTTCAAAGGTTCAAATTCTTAGTACAATTTTAATGGAAGGCTTCAATTTGATTGAATGCATTACAATTCATCAAAAATCACTTTATATTAAGTGGCTTAAAGGAATACTCCACTTTTTTTGGAAATAGGCTCATTTTACAACTCCCCAGAGTTAAACAGTTGGGTTTTAGCATTTTCGAATGTATTCAACCGATTTTTTTTGATATTTAAAAGAATATCAGTAACCACACAGTTTCTGGTCTCATTGACTTCCATAGTATATTTTTTTTCCTACTATGGAAGTCAATGGGACCAGAAAGTCTTGTTACTGATATTCTTCTAAATATCAGAAAATTGGCTGAATGGATTTGAAAACGGTAAAACTCAACTGTTTAACTCTGGGGGAGTTGTAAAATGAGCCCATTTCCAAAAACAGTGGAGTATCCCTTTAAGTACTATGTGAAGAGTTCAGATGCAAAAGCCTCTAAATGCCATTTGAAATTTTCTTCTTTAATGATGATTTTTATCAAACTTGTATATTTAAGTTCAGTAATTTCACTTAAATAACAATTAATAGGTAATTATCATTGCCATTTAAGTGAAATCACTGAACTTAAATATACAAGCTTGATAAAAATGATCATTCTAGAAGAAAATTTCAAATGGCACTTAGAGGCTTTTGCATCTGAACTCTTCATGTACTTACATCGAAAAATAAGTACAATGCACTGACTGTGTTCTTTGTAAAACACTTGAACTATTACAAATGTATGCCTTCAACACAATGCACATTTCTTTGGATAAAAGCATCTGACTTTGCATAAATGAAATTGTAAAAACCTTTAAAGGGGAGAAACTGACATAACAAAATACATCAAAAATATTTTTCTTTTGGGTCTGTGCAGCTGCATTTAACCATGAAATTTGCCAAATTATCCCTCAAAATAATATGAGGGTTGCATAATGTAAAGTGCACAAGACGCTAATTTTTGTGTAAGATAGTTTTAGCCTTGCAGTTTTATTTATACTAATTAAACTAGATTTTTATTAAATATTTACCAGTCAAAAACACCAATAAACAGCAGTTATTTACTTTGCTGCAAGCAAATCAATATAAAATACTATAGTAATACAATCAGTGAATCATCATGGGAAATGGTTATTCCATCAATCCAAACACACTGAATGAATGAATCTTTACGAAATGAATCTTACTTAACATTTTATATGAGAGGATGAACAGTTTTAAAGGAGCTTGTTTGATTTGTTTCCCTGGCTGTTACAGATTAAATACAGAAATACAGATGTGTGTTGCTCTTTTTTACAGAACATAAAATCTAATCTGTTTTGAACACACATATGCAACTAAAAATGCAAGTTATTTGGATCATTTCTATGCAACCCCTTTTATTTTTGAGAATGTCTCCCCCCCCCCCCCAAACACACACAAAATTCCATACTGGCATTGTAGCAGTTGCCCCTGTCACATTCTTTTTCCTGGCTCGCTGTTTTGCGCAGGAGAAGGTCACGGGAGGCACGTACAGATGCTGAACCGGTCCCGCGGGAGAGTGGCTTTCTCTGGATCCCGCTGCCTGTTCCGCAAACAGCTCTCAACCGTGTCTAACAGGAACAGAGACTTGACGCTGTGACATAGCCCACTTTATTTAGAGAACACACAAACACACACACACGAGACAAAACATAGCTGATCAGCTCTAAAAAGACAGGTGTTATGCAATGACTATTGTTGTGTGAATTGGTGTAACAGGTATTTAATGTAACATCTAAATATTCACACACTCACACACACAAAATGATAAAATGATTATCATTTACTGACTCTCATTTTTGCCTGCATGATTTTTGAAGCAACAGTTATTGCTTCTGTATAAAATGATATTGTGACTGTCGAAAAGATTCAAATCACTTAGGTGAATCAAAATCACCATTATGGACATCAGAATAAGTGACGCTTTTGATTACTCACCCTCATGTTGTTACAAAACCCATAACACTTTTGTTCGTCTTCGAAACACAAATGAAGATATTTTAAATTAAATATGAGAGATTTCTGTGCCTCCATTGACACTCCCCGCAACTACCACTTTGACTTTTATAAAGTACGATTGTAAAACTAATCCATAAGATTTGAGCGGTTTAGTCAAAAAAATGTTTACCCTAACCCCTAGACCAATGAATATGAATCACTACCTAACACTGAATAAGCCTATGCCTAAAGCTACAGTAACTGAAGAAGAATGTATCCTTTTTAAGATAGTGTCCCAAGTTTCATCTTCTAACAAAGTCCTCCTCCCAGAGAGATTTCAATGACCTACTAGAAGGGGTTTGTTTGTCATTTATTATACTGCAAATCTTTGAAATGGCACCCCTTACACATTTATGCTGGTCTAAAATACTCTCAAAGACACCGCTAAGAGGGGCAGAGGGAAAATATTTATGGACACAGCTCTGAGCTAATACCGGAATACATGTAAATTGCACACTTTTGATTTTAATAATGTATTAGTAAATGTTAAAAATAAAAATGAACTAAGATTAACAAATGCTTTAGAAATATTTTCACTGTTAGTTTGGTAACTAATGTAGTTAGTACAACAGGTCGCTTCTACATCAGAGCTATTCACCTATCATTGCCCTCTGAATTTAGGGATAAGTGTAGCCAAGTCACTAGGGGGCGCTGCTGAGGGAATGAGGGAAATTAGGAAGAAATGGCAGAAGGAATGGGATAGTGGAAATATGGGTCGGCATTTATACAAAATTCAAGGAACAGTTGGTTTAGTAAGAAGAAATTTTGTTAATAGGAGGTGGGATATTATAATTTCAAGAATGCGTATTGGCCATTGTTTACTAAATCAAAGTATGGCCAGGATTGGAAAACACCAGACTGGATATTGTGACAAATGTAGTTCAGGAAATATGGAAACAGTAGAACATGTATTATTTAAGTGTGATGCTTATGTGAGAGAAAGATTTAAATTATTTTAAGTATTAAGAGAAATGGAAATTGAAGAATTTAACAGAATTTATGTCATTAACGTTATCCACACTCCAATCCAGTAGGTGGCGGGAATGCACCATTAAAGTTTGGTTTGCCAACTGCCATTAAACTTGAAAGAAGAAGAAGAAGAATAGTTGCAATAGCTGAATTGTTTGGCATGGTCGCTGGAAGAACAAGCTCTGGTAGGTTGATGTTAATAAGAAGTGTTTTTTATACTCATGATGGTTCAAATCTTTTTGATGCATTGGCCAAGAGCCAGTGATGTTTGGTGAAAAGGTAATACAAATGGGCCAGTTGTACTTAATCTTTTCATTGTTTTTGGACTACATTTTCTGAAAGGATACACAAATATGTTAATCCATGAACATGCCTTACTTGGCAAAATCATGCTGACCAATAACATTTACTGATTGTCATTCATCCATCAATTTATTTATTAATTCATTCATTTGTTCATTCATATCAGCATTAAAGGCTATATTCATTGCAAACTCAGGAGTAATGCATTTAAAATAATCAATATAACAAATATATAAGTTAATTGTATACAATAATTTAAGAACATTATGCAAACCTTATTGTAAAGTGTTGCAAATAAATAGTTCCTGAAAATGAAACAGGCCTTAATTTTGCCTATCCACTCTAATGTCGGATCAGCCAGATGAGGAATATTTCATATGTGAGGACGATTTTGTATTCCATGTGTTGGTTAGCCGTTAGCCTCTAGAGCTTTGAGGTGGTACACAGAAGCCTTTGATGCTTGAGATCCAGCTCCCGAAAGAGATCTTCAATCTGTCTTTCTGATGTTTAGCAGCTTCAGTACCTCCTGATAAAGGTTCTTTGCCCGGAAATCCATAAAGCATTATGCTCGGGTGATGAGAATTCTTCGCACTGCCCCGTTGACCATCTACTGATAAGGTAACTCTACCATATCTGCAGTATTTCAGTGGTGTCTTCTCTTAATTACTGTGGGTCGCTATCTGTGCTATCCACATACAGCCTGTACGAGCTCTCTGAATGTGTACTCACAAAGAAGTGTGACCCTGAGCTGGAACATAAGAAGGTGTAATCTAAATCAGAGAAAGATAAACACAGGTGAAACAGGGGTCAGCTTGTGAATTTGACCTGTTAGATCTGAGAAGATAGAAAGAAAATTGGTCTTGTTCACATGTGCCCTACACGTGTAAGTCCATGATGTGGTGTGTGTAGCTCGGCTGACTCAATTCTCAGGGAATGTAAAAGTGTGTGTATACCCTACTTGTTACGTGTTGCTGTGATGAGGCGCACTATAGCAAGGAATTTTTTGAAAGAAATTAATATTTCAGTAAGTACACATTAAATTGACCAAAAGTAACCATTTCTTGGGCATCAAATCAGCATATTAGAATGATTTCTGAAGGATCATGTGACTCTAAAGACCGAGTTATAATGCTGAAAATAATTATATTTCACAATGCTGTTTTTAATATTTTTGATCAAATGAATGTGCCATGGTGAGATTAGACTTCAGCATAAGAATTTAATGCTTGATGCACTTTAAGTTGCTTTAATAAAAAAGTCAGCCAAATCCATAAATGCAAAATATAATGATAAACGGGTAAGGAGAGTTCAAAAAGGTTTTCAATAAACAAAAGGGTTTTTAATGAAAACATATAATCCTTATAAAGACTGAGACAATCAGACACATAACTATTTGTTACCTTAAACAAATAAGCTTTAAAGCCCCCTCTTAATAATGAAACACCCCCCCCCCCCCCCCCCCCCAAAAGAGGAGCAGAAAAGGCCTCAGTCACCAGGGCAACCATCAGATAAGATGGTTTTATTGCTGTGAAAAATGTGGTAAAACATAAGCCACCCCAAATTCCAGGCACGCTTTGTCAACGGAGAATGCGTGCAGGTCCCCTACCCTCCTGATAGAGGCCAATGCAACCAGGAGTGCTGTCTTCATTGACTTTCTTTAGCTCCACTGATTGCAAAGGCTCAATGGGAGCACTCTGCAGGGCAGTAAGAACCACTGAGAGGTAATTGAACCTTTCTTTAGAGAAATTCTCCAGGGAGGTGCCGTTATGAGGAGTACAAGTTCGGAGAACCAGGTCTGGGTGTGCCAGTGTGGCGCAACCAGAATTAACTGCTCCTCGTTCTCCTTGACCTTGTGCATGTGGGGGAACAAGTATTTGCGGTCTCGTGGCCAGCTGTGCGTCAGTGCATCCATGACGAGCATGCCCTCGTCAGGGAATAACACAGGGCGCAATGGGTCGAGTCGTGAGAGGCAAACAGGTCTATCTGTCCATCCCCAAACTGGTCCCAAACCAGTTTAACTGAGTGGGGATGGAGTCACCATTCTCCAGGTAGGGGCTGAAATCATGGGAGCTGGTAGGCTGCACAGTTCAAGCCTCCAGGAATAATGGCTCAAAGTGACCTCAGATGCTTCTGACTCCATAAGAGGTGGCAGGCGAGTTATGGAAGGGGCGCAGACCACCTTGATGCTGGATGTACGCTGTGGGCTAGTTCGCATTGACCTTGAGAAACACAAGAGCAGTGCAGAACATGGCATACTGCCAGCAACTCGAGGAAATAGAGATGTTAAGGGAGCTAGGTCTTGTCCAGGAGCTGGCAGCAGCATGTCCATTGTGCATGGTGCCCCATCCCGTGGTGGAGAGAACAACATGTGTTGAGAACAACATTACCGGAAGCTCGTTCCAGGGGCACCAGCCCGTAGAAACTAAGGTTCAACCACGGGTGAAGGTCTGACGGCAGGTCAAAGTAACTGGAACTCGGAGCACGCCATGTTGCCATCGGGACTCAGTCGCGAAGCCAAAGCTCAAGTGGTATCATATGAGCAATCTGAGTGGCAATGTTCTGGCTACGGATGCCATATGTGCCAGGAGCCTCTGAAAAAATCCTCAGTGGATCTGCACTCTTGCTCTTGATTGTCTCAGGCAAGTCAGCAGTGACTGAGTGGAGAAGGCGACCAAGTCAATACCAAGAAAAGAGATCCTATACAAGGGGCAAAGTTTACTCTTTTCCCAGTTGACCCGAACTAGCTAAACCCAAGCTAGGTGCCGGAACACTGGGCCCCTGTGTTCACAAACCTGGTCTCAAGAGTGAGCTAGGATAGCCAGTCACTGAGAAAGGGAGGAACAAGGGCTGTCTCGACAACCTTTGTGAGCGGGGAGGAGACCATGCGAACTGAATCGCATAGCCAAGCCGATGGTTCGCACAACCCAGCGGAACAGATTGGAAAGCTCTAGCCAGACTCCCAAGAACTGTGCCAGCGAAGTCAAGCAAACCACAGGCGTCTCCATCGTGGTGCAGCGAAGCAGAATGACAGTTGGCATAGCAGCCCGGTGTGGGGGCACGGTCATCATCCGCACCCTGACAGAGAGAAGGACTAGCTTTCAACGGGGGCCTGCTCTGCCAGGGTTCTGGCGACATGAGGGATGAAAGTGGAACGTTCCAGGGACAGTGCACACTGTCATCTAACTCTGAAACAGAGGAGGACGAGGGGTGCACAGCTTGAGGGCGGCGCATCATGTCATCCGAGAACTCTGTGCTCAGAGACGTTAGAGGCAGTTCTTTCTGAGAAAAGAGGATTCTTCCCTGGCCCTCCACCAAGGGATGCAGTGGGCCTGCTACCAGAGAGCACTCAGGACAGGGTGAGAGGTTCCACTCTAGTCTGATGCTCGCAGCAGCCAGGAAAAGCATGGCCATCATCTCAGGATCTGACACGACAAATGCCATATGCACAGCCTAAAGTGGCAGCACTGTCGAATCTTCACTTCATGAAGATTCTAGCCTGCCCTGTGATGCTACGATGAACAAAAGAGCCGATTCTGGAGCGCCAAGGGAAACCCGTGGAGCATCCAAAAATATGTGAATATTAATGTGTGAACTCACCGCAGATCGCCATCACACCAACACCAGAGAGAGTGGCTCATCTCGTAGAGTGAAGTCAAAAATAGCTGTGGAGTGAAGAGATACTCTTGGCTCCGAATCAAAAAACATATCTGCATATTTTGCCGGCGTCATCCTTTTATACCCATGAGGTAAGGCGGAGATGCACTATGCAAATTTTGCAGACCCATGGCATTTCTTTGCCATTGGCTCATTTTTGTATATAAGTCGATAAGCTTCTAAGCGAAGCCCCATTCGTAGTCATCCAACGTAATGGAGTGACAACGAAAGGGAACAGAATGTGATTGAAAATAACAAATGAAAGGTCCATAAAAAACAGAAACTAAGAACAAACCAAACTTATGAGTGAAAGACAGATTGGCCTATATAAATAAAAGTCCTTGTTCTAACAGCATTGAAAGTGTTATTTTCCAAGCCACAAATAAAGTCACAATTGAACGAGTTTGCCCTATTAATAATCTCTCAGACAAATAGTGCAAAATGCTTTAATAATACAAGCAAACAATTTTGAGAGTCATATTAACAAATCATCTGTCAAAACAGCATCGACTGAACTCTGTGGGTATTTTAACACATTTTCATTCCCACACATTCATCTTGTGAATGGCCAAAACGCTTAGCTTGCAAAACAAGATGCAGCTCTGAAAATGATTGTTTTGTATTCTGTGCTGGTAATGGTGTCTTGTTTTGTTGAATTAGCGATCAGTCTCCAAAGTCATTGATGAATTAAGGCCATTGGGAGGCCAAATTTCTCAAATATACCAGTTCTATTTATCTTGGTAGCGAGTCAATGAAAACAGCCTAAAGAAATCATAAGGTCTGCATTTGAAATTAAATTTATGTGTAAACATTTTGTTCTTTGTGTTTCACTCTTTGTTAACAATGCTATTATATTGGTATGAGAATAATTGAACACTTACAATTGAATACATACAATATCTTTCATTTATATAATTACCAATGATATTGGTGTAATGATATTGGTATTAGAATGCAATGCAATTATATTGGTATTAGAATAATTGAACACTTACAATTGTATAAGGTTTCCTTGATATAATCTGGGAAGACCTTAAAGAGTAGTATTATACAGGTTTCACCGCCTAATACCATCGATTTACCTTGGTCTGCAACATTACTTTTAGCTATTCCAACTGAGAAACCTCATATATATAGTCCATCATACACCACAGGTGTTGACACAAACATCCTCAAGCCCATTTTGTGCAGAGGGCTACATGCTTGGCAATACAAAAGCTCCAAGCTGTGCTGAAAGTTATCAATTTGGGTAATCTACCATTTCTCTCACTCCCTCCGTCAGCGGACAATTACAATATTTATGAGTACAGGCTGAGATATAGAACGACGATTTATTCTACTACTTTATCTTCGTCCTCTCTTTAGGAGGTTTATTTTAATGAAAGTACGGCTGAAAATCAGTCAAGCATTTGTCAGTGTAATTGTACAACACAATGACATGAATAAATATGAGCTGACAACGCTGGTTTAAATACGTCTGCAGAACAGGGGATTAGCCCAAGTCCTCTTTTCTTTATTTTTGTGTTCGTTTCCTCTCTTTCACCCATAAACCATCATTTAATTGACAGGAAATAAAACATTCATTGGTTTGACCTTTGTGAAGAATTATAGAAACAGTGCGAGCAGGCTAGTTAATAGGATGCTGAGAATAGCTTTAGTGTGTTATTGTAACGCTCTTCCCCATGAATGACCTAATTGAGTGTGACTCAGATGGTTATCAGATATGATTTTGTTAAACCCGATTTAAATTGTAAACGCATGTACAAAAGTTTGAACTTGTCTAAGACAAGAATGACAATCACTTAATATCTGCTGGGTCATTTTTTTTTATTTATTTTTTTTGTATGCAGTACAATCTCTTTCCCCCTTAATATACACTCCTGGTCAAAAGGTCATTGTATATATATATATATATATATATATATATATATATATATATATATATATATATAACTTATATTATA